ATCTACAGCATGGGAGAAAATTTTGGCAAACCACTTATCTGGTAAGGAGTTAATATCCAAAATATTTACGGAATTCACAGAACTCAGTAACAAAAACAAGTAATACAATTTTAAAATGGGCAAACAACCTAAATAGACATTTTTCTAAAGAAGACACACAGATGGCCAATAGGTATATAAAAAGGTGCTCAACATCACTAATCAGGAAAACACGAATCAAAACTACAATGATATAGTATCAATTCACACTTGTCAGGATAGCTGTCATCAAAAATTCAAAAGATAACAAGTGTTAGCAAGGGTGTGGAGGAAGGCAATTCTTGCACATTCTTGGTGGGAATGTAACTTGGTACAGCCATTATGAAAAACAGTATGGAAGTTCCTCAAAAAAATTAAAAACAGAACTACTATATAATCTAACAATCCCACTTTTGGATACGTATCCAAAGGAAATGAAATTAGTATCTCAAAGAGATATCTGCATTTTCAGATTCATTGCAGTATTATTCACAATAGTCAAGAGGGCCAGGCGCTGTGACTTATATAAGCCTGTCATCCCAGCACTCTGGGAGACCGAGGCAGGTGGATCACCTGAGGTCAGGAGTTCGAGACCAACCTGGCTGACATGGTGAAACCCCATCTCTACTAAAAATACAAAAGTAGTTGGGCATAGGGGTGTATGCCTATAATCCCAGCTATTCAGGAGGCTGAGGTAGGAGAGTCACTTGAACCTGGGAAATGGAGGTTGTGGTGAGCTGAGATCACACCATTGTAATTACATTGTCTGTCGTCATTGCCTGGGCAACAAGAGCGAAACTTCACCTCAAAAAAAAAAAAAAAAAAAAAAATCCAAGATATACAAACAATCTAAGTGACAGATAAATGGACTAAAAAATATGTCATAAAGAGATAACAGAATACTATTCATTAAAAAGAAGAAAATCCTGCCATTTGTGACAACATGGATGAACCTAGAGGATGTATGCTAAGTGAAATAAGTCAGACACAGAAATAAAAATACTGTATGTGCTTACTTAATATGTGAGATCTTTACAAATCAGACTCATAGAAGTAGACAGTAGAATAATGGTTTCCAGGGGTGAAGAGGTGAGAGAAATAAGATGATGTGAGTCAAAGGCTACAAAGTTATAAACTATGAATAAAATCTAGAGATCTAATGTATAGCATGAGGACTAGTTAATAATACTGTGCTATACAGATGAAGTTCGCTTAGAGAGTAGATCTTCAGTGTTCACACTACAAGAAAAAACAGTAATTATGTGAAGAGATGGATATGTTAATTGGGTTGATTGAAATCATCAGGTCACTATGTATATGCATATTAAAATACCAGGTTGTACAACTTAAATACATATAAGTTTAATTTTTTAAAAAAACAACTTTTTTTGAAACAGGGTCTCACTCTGTCTCCCAGGCTAGAGTGCAGTGGCAGGATTTCAGCTCACTGCAAACTCCACCTCCCAGGTTCCAGTGATTCTCCTGCCTCAGCCTTCCGAGTAGCTGGGATTACAGGCACACGCCATCATGCCTGGCTAATTTTTGTATCTTTTGGTAGAGACGGGGTTTCACCATGTTGGCCAGGCTGGTCTCAAACTCCCAACCTCAGGCCATCTGCCCACCTCGGCCTCCCAGAGTGCTGGGATTACAAATGTGAGCCACCGCGCTCGGCCCTAATTAAAATTTTTTCACATAATAGAAGTACAATAAATATTCAACTGCAGTCAGAACTGTAACAAGGAGAGTGTCAAGAGAGTGTTACAGAGGCAAATAAAAGTCCAAAAGAAAATATTCCTCATATCTTTGGCCATCTTGAGCAAGTTGAAGGAGATTTAAAAGATTAAAAATTTAGTTATATGGGTATTGGGGGTGTGCCACCTCCTTTTATGAATTACTGACAAGTTATATAACATTTTAGATTATTAAACTTTTACAGTAGATCTGTATAAAAAGAATGGTTGAAAGATATGCTGTGTAATAAGAAAACAATACTGGGCGAATCCGTGCAATAGGAATTCTAAGTATTCCACTACATACAAACACGTTAAATATATTTGTGTATTTGTAAAATCCTTAATCAATGGTTTTCTTGGTGGTGATAGACAAGACAGCACAAACTACATAATACATCAAAGCTGTATGTTTTAGCCACAATATATACTGAGCACTGAAGGAACCTTAGATATCATCTAGTTCAACTTTTTTCCCACGGATAAAGATCTAAGACTCAAAAAAGGTGAAATGGCTTGTTTTTTCTGTTGAAAAATAAATAAATGCTTAACTCTGGATCAGTGCAACTATGAATAATTTTCTTTTTACCTTTTTTCTAGAATTATTCTATTATTTTTATAATGAGAATAGTAAGTTATTTCAGAAAAAAATAATATCCCAATATTCCTTTAAAATTTATGCATTTACCTGAAGCCTTTTGCCAGTTTGTGTTCAGTTCTCAGCTTCTAAAGCCTTCATCTCACTGAGCACAATACCTTATTCCTGTAATTCCAGCACTTTGGGAGGCTGAGGTGAGGGAATCACTTGAGCCCAGGAGTTGAAGACCAGCCTGGGGAACATAGCAAGACCTCATGTCTACTAAAAATTAAAAAATTAGCTAGGCATGGTGGTGCACACCTATAGTCAGTCCCAGCTACTCAGGAGGCTGAGGTGGGAGGATTGCTTAAGCCCAGGAGTTCAAGGTTGCCATGAGCTATGATCGTGCCACTGCACGGCAGCCTGGGCAACAGGGTGAGATCCAGTCTCAAAAAAAAAAAAAAAGATTAAAAATTTTTAAATTTTAAAAGTCCTCATATCACCTCAATTCCTCAACTGAGATTTCTTAACTACTAAGTAAGTGCAAGCTCAGTGTCTCCTCAGAGTCTAAAGCCAATTGTAGGAGCTTTGGCAAAGAAGCCCATCTTTACTAATCTTACTAATTGCCCATATCCTAATTCTGGTGAATGAAATCTGTGTTGACAATGTGTCTAACAAAGGAGTGTACTTTATTCTTGAAAACTCCATGTCCCAAGGAAGTCTAGACTAGGCTGCCAGAAAAAATACAGGATGCCCAGTTAAATCTGATTTTCAAATAAGCAACAAATTTTTGATATAAGAATGTCCCAAATATTGGCTGTAACACATACTAAAAAATTACTGATTACCTGAAATTCAAATTTAACTGGGAATCCTTTATTTTTATTTGCTAAATCTGGTGATGCTAGCCTGGTCTCTAAACCTGAGGATTAGACCTTTAACTGGTTCAAAAGATCTTCAACAGATTACCAGCTGCATTTTAAATGTTCTCTGTTCCTGGATTTTCTGTTGTATTCCAACAGTCTGACAGATCATGTATTAATTCAAATTGTAATATCCAATACTGGCTACCTGTCCAGATTAAAATATTTTACCTAGTTTTCTGTCTAGAGCTTGTCAAAACGGATTTTATTCTAGCACCTGAAGTTGGAACAATGTCTCTAAGAACCATCCCAAACCACTGAACAGGCCCAGTTTTAAGGCCTTGTTGTGAAGAAACTAATGGACTGGTCCTGGGGAAACTAGCATGAACAATAAAATCAAAACTCTTTTTTTTTTTTTTTTTTTTTTTTGAGACAGAGTCTCTCTCTGTCACCCTGGCTGGAGTGCGGTGGCACTATCTTGGCTCACTGCAACCTCTGCCTCCCCAGTTCAAGTGATTCTCCTGCCTCAGCCTCCCGAGTAGTTAGGACTACAGGTATGTACCACCACACCCAGCTAATTATTGTATTTTTAGTAGGGACAGGGTTTCACCATGTTGGCCAGGATGGTCTCAATCTCTTGACCTTGTAATCCACCCACCTCGGCCTCCCAAAGTGCTGGGATTACAGGCATGAAATAAAGGTATTATTTCAATGTATTTATTAACAACTATATAAAAAATTCTCCCTTTAAAAAAATACAGTATCTTCATCTAATAAAAAGAATAGTATTAACTTCATATGGTTGTTGTAGAGATTACTGAAATAATTAACAATGACTGATATATGTATTTGGTGGTGTTTTCCCAGCACTTTGTTTCCAAAATTATTTCCTTCAATATTGCCATTTATCCAAGGCTATTAAAGACCAACCGAAAAAAAAATCCATGTTCTTTTTCTACCAGTTTTTTCATGCTATTTAAACATTAAACTTTGATCCTTATGGCAAGAACCTTCACCATCTTTTCGACCATCTTATCCACTCCTTGAGCCCCTACTGTTGCAGATGCATATGCATCTCAGCCTCCATTTTTCTTTCTTCTTCCATTCTGTTTACCTTGAAGCTGACTGTCTTACAGGATAAGAATGAGCACTCTAACTGCTTCTCAATTCCTAAATATAACCAATACTAAGATATGATTCCGATCTATTGTCAATTAAATCATTAATAATCCATAAGCAAAATCATAAATAATATTGCCATAAATTTCATTATCACATTAAGAACCTTTTGAAGCATAATCAGCAAATTTACATACTTTTAAGTTTTCCAAGCATGTTCTTAAGTTCGTTTATAAAACATGATTAATACCGCCAAAGTTACTATTTAGAGAAACTGTCTAAATGTAATTCTATTTAAGAAATGAAGAAGTAAAGGAAGAGGGAAAGATGAAGAGAAAGACAGGAAAATGAGAAGGAACAGAAGAACAAGGCCGGGCGCAGTGGCTCAAGCCTGTAATCCCAGCACTTTGGGAGACCGAGGCGGGTGGATCACGAGGTCAAGAGATCGAGACCATCCTGGTCAACATGGTGAAACCCTGTCTCTGCTAAAAATACTAAAAATTAGCTGGCATGGTGGTGCATGCCTGTAATCCCAGCTACTCAGGAGGCTGAGGCAGGAGAATTGCCTGAACCCAGGAGGCGGAGGTTGCGGTGAGCCGAGAGCACGCCATTGCACTCCAGCCTGGGCAATAAGAGCGAAACTCCGTCTCAAAAAAAAAAAAAGAAGAACAAAGAAATTTTAAGTAGACTCACCTCCAACCACTCTGGCTTCTTTCAGATTTTGATTGAATAGAATTAAAGACAGAATCTTGACTTCTCAGAGGACGAGAAACTGAATGTGGTATTTGCCTTTCAAGGAAATATGTCTTGTTAAATATTAATAGTTTGCTTTCAAATTGAGAAACTAAGATATACATAGAAGAATAACATCAGTCAGTAACAGATACACATCCACTGGTTTATATTTTTCTACATACCCGGTGTCCATTGTTTTTATTACAGGAGCCAACTCTGGATTCATAGCTTCCCAGGCCCAATCTCAAAAGATATAAGTAACATAGATAAAAGTAAGATAGGTAGTATTTTTCAAAATAATAACTTCATACTTATTTAATTTGGGGGGTTTTAAAACCTGAAGAAGAAAAGAACTTGCATATACAAACTTCGTTGGAAAACTTGTCACAGCCTGCCTTATTAATTTTTATAGATGTCTTTCTTATCCATTATATTTTAAGCAAAGATAATTTAATCAGTATCTTTTCTACAATCAGTTCTAGTATAGTACCTCAAACTTTGTAACATGAATTTCATTTAATCCAATGTTTCTTGAACTTTTTAAATCCCACCAACAGAAAGAAATACATCATAACTCAGAACATATATATGCATGGTGTGTGTGTGAGACAGAGATAAAGAAAGGAGGAAAAAGAATATAAAACTTCACCATCAAATCTTATCCTTAATATTGCGATACACTGACACAGTCATGTATCACTTAATGACAGGCATACATTCTAAGAAACGAATTGTCAGGTGATTTTGCTGTTGTGCCAACATCAAAGAGTGTGCTTACGCAAACCTGGAGAGTGTAGCTTGCTACACACCTAGGGTGTAGTTATAGCCTATTGCTCCTAGGCTGTAAACCTGTGCAACATGTTACTTCACTCAATACCATAGGCAACTGTAATATAATAGTATTTGTGTATCTACACATATCTAAACATAGAAAAGACACAGTAAAAACATAATAGGAAAGATAAAAACCAATACACTCAAGAGGGCACTCACCATAAATGAAGCTTGCAGGACTTAAAGTTGCTCTGGGTGAGTTAGTGATTAAGTGGTGGGTAAATATGAAGGCCTAGGACATTACTATACACTACTGTATACTAAACACACCATATATTTAGGCTATACTAATTTATAAAAAAAAATAATAAAGTATGCTATGACATCATCACAGCTACTATGTCACTAGGAGATAGAAATTTTTCAGCTCCATTATCATTGTAACGGCACCACCATCACAAAGGTCAGTCCATCACTGACCAAAACATTGTTATGCAGTGTATGGCTGTATTTTCTATTCTACTCTACCTTATTCTCTTCTATTTCTTCTTCTTAAAGATCAATTATATCCCAGCCCAACTAATGGATCAAGACAAAAATTTAAAAAACAAAAAACAAAAACACTGTTGTAGTCTTCTCTCTTACCCAATACAGGAAAATTACTATTTCTGACAAAGAGTAGCCCTGGTCAGAGCCCGAAGTACTTCAGGAGGACACGCATCATGAGATACAGAGGACAGCCTACCAATGACCTCTGAGAACTAGAACTAAAAGGTTATGTAACTCCCAGCAAGGACAACTTAGTTCATGTGCCAGCTGAAGCTACAAAGAAGCCCACTGGACGAAGGTGTGTCTTAGTCCATTTGCACTACTATAACAAAAAATACTTCAGAATGGGTAATTTATAAATATGATACATTTATTTCTTAGTTTTGGAGGCTGGGAAGTCAAGGCTTTTTACTGTGTCCTCACATGAGGAAAGGATCAAACAGCTCCCTCAAACCTTTTGTAAAGTTACTAATCTTATTCATGAGGGCAGAGCCTTAATTACCTCCTAAAGGCCCCACATCTTAATACTATCATACCAGCAGTTAAGTTTCAACGTATGAATTTGGGGAGGGGGGACACACTGAGACCACAGAGTAAACAGTCAACAAATGAATGAGGCAAAAAATGCCCTCAGAAGAGAAAAAGACTATAGCCAGGCACCAGGTATTTTCAGGCACTTGCACTTCCTAAAATCTATCTTTTTTTTCCATTTCTCCTGTGTTCCCATGCATACTTATCCCTACTATTGAGGCAATTCATGTGTTTCCATTCTTTACCACCAAATATATAAGCTATAATATCCACATGTATTTTAAGAATGACAAATATTTTTTACAATATATGCTACTACTTTATTAGAACAAAGGTTCCAAATCTAAGATACTCCATTTAAATGCTAAGCCACCCTTGTAGATAAAGAAACTCAAACTCCTGACCTGTAATGTTCAGAAAAGAGCCATGTAATTTCTATATGTGGATAACGGAAAGAAGAAAAACTCTGTTTTCAATTATAATAAAATAGAAAATACAATTTTCTATAATCGTAGTTTGTATTTCGTGAAAATTTTTATATTATTAATTTTCTTACCTGCAGGTAGAGGAGGAAAATCAAAATTGTCAGAAGGAGTACTGATACCTGAATCATCTTTAAGTGGATTGGAAGTTAATGGCTGTCGGTTCCTCTTTTTCTGATTGAACAATGGAACAGGCAAACAGCCTAAATTGAATGCACCAATAAATTAGTACATAACAGATGCATAAGCAGATCTAGTTGTAAAATAACTAGTAATATAATATACATTTTAAATCTGTCTACTTCTATATGCTAATATACTTCTACATTTCTATATCTTTGGATTTTTACATTCTTTTTAAGATCCTGAATAGCCTCATTTGTCTCTTCGAAAACCTTTTCTTATTCTACCCTAACACTGTTTTAATTCCTCACACATGGAATTAATTCCCATCTCCTCGCTCATCCCCCAACCTTTCCAAATCCACTTTTTGTCTTCCTTATCCATGTCCTGTGCTTGCCTATTACCATAACCACTGCAGGGGACCTCTGGAGTACAATGGAGATGAAGAAGAACCAAGCTCTGAACCATGCTTGGAACAACAGTGCCATATCCTTTTGAGCCTTGGTTCTCAAAGCTTCACTGGACTAAGATTCATCTAGAATGCTTAATATGCAGGTTCCTAGACTCCACTCTCACAGATTTTATTTTGATAGAGTTAGCCTGGAACTCAAAACTCTGCAATTTTAACAAGTACCCCAGGTGTCCGTAATTATATTTCTTTGTGGATCATTTTGAGAATGCCTTAGAGAGTAATAATATCCAGAGAGTAATAATATCCAGTCCAAATAAGAATAAATACTTCTACCAATTCCTCCAGAGAGATCTCGGATCTCAAGTCAGGCTAAAAGTCACAAAATATAAACTTTAAAACTTAGGGAACTCGAAGGGGAAACAAGTTCAAAAATCTTGTGCATTGCTATAAAGCAAGTCAGTAGAAGAATCTAGATAGGACGCAAGATTCTTAATACCAGTTCAGATCCCTTGCCACTGTACCATTCTCTAACTGGTCATCATCAATTGTATTACAGGCAAATACAGACTCTCTGAAAACTCTCTGATTGAAGGCTGGGAGAATTAAGTGGGCTCTGGCATCAGATGGCCTGGTTCCGAATTAAGACTTCAAAGTAGGTTTGAATTACAACTTCAAAGTATGACCTTGGGCAATTTCCCTAAACTCTTTGTGCCAATATGACATATACTGACAGCATAATGATTAAGAGCATGGACTAAGAGCCAGATTCCTAGGTTCAAATTCTGATTCTGCGACATCGTAGATCACTTATTTAACCTCTTTCAGCCTTGGTTCTCTCATCTGAAGAACAGAAATGACGATAATAACCTAACTCAGAGGACTGGTGTAAGGATTAAATAAATATATACAATTAATGTCTTGAATACAGTTAACCCACCCAAATAACAGTTACTATTATCTTCAATATGCATCATCATTCCCCTGGTTCTCATCATCCTTGCCCTCTGTCTTTATACTATAAACTGGGAAAGCAAAAGTGATAGGAGAAGCTATTAGAAAGACAGAAGTGCTTCTGAAAATATTTTTAGCAAGTCAGTCACAAATACAAACAAAAACAGATCTATTTCTTTGTTTCCAGTTCAAAAGCACAGAATAACTCAAGCATGTCTAATTTGTAGAAAAAAACACCAAAATAAATCCAAGAAGTTTGATCTTACTCCCGTATCTACCACTAAATGTTTTGTCTTGAGTAAGTTATTTTACTTCCTGGGGCCTAAAAAGTAAAGAGGCTAGACTAACCGTTCAATCTATTTTAAAGTTATTTCCAAAATGTTCCATCTATAAACTATACAAGCTTTATATGATATATAGAAAATTGTAAAATAAAAGTTGTTCAATACCTGCTGTACTTCGAGCTGAATTTTCATTTAGACTTCGCTTCATTTCCTTCAGTATCAAAATCTATAATTTTCCCTTCAGCATTCAAATTTATGACGTTGTCCCACTAAACCTGCAAAGAAATAAATTTATAACTCATATTGTCTCACCATAAAACCAAATCCTCAACCCAGTAATTACCGAAATTATGGTTTTAAACCACTTTCAAACCTGATCATGTAAATACTGGAGGGAGTCCCTTGCTTTCCAAGAGTTTACAACATAATCCACTTCTCCAACCCTGTTCAAATTAAGTTAACGACTAGAGCAACTGTAACCTTGCTTCCGAAATATATTGCTTCCGAAATATATGCAGATTTTTTCAAACAGTATATGTAATTTATTTTAGAATCCGGGACCCACAAAGAGAATTCTGAACCAGAACTACCAAGAGGAAAATGGACGACAGCATTGGCAAATATATACGCTTCCAAGACCAGGAAGGAAACACAGTACTTAGCCACTGGGAACATCCTCTATGCCCCACTTTAAGACACTGTGGGGGTTATCTGCCTTGGCATCACTTTGAACTGCCTGGATTATATAATACCAAAGACTAAGTCCTCCTGAGATCAGGACTTCAGGACCAGCCTGGCCAACACGTGAAACCCTGTCTCTACTAAAAACACAAAATTAGCCAGGCAAGGTGGTGGGCACGTATAATCCCAGCACTTTGGGAGGCCAAGGTGGGCGGATCATCTAAGGTCAGGAGCTCATGACCAGCCTGACCAACATGGTGAAACTCCATCTCTGCTAAAAACACAGAAAATTTTTAAAAATTAAAAAAAAAAAAAAACAAAAATTAGCCGGGCATGGTGGTGGGCACCTGTAGTCCGTTATTCAGGAGGCTGAGGCAGGAGAATTGCTTGAATCTAGGAGACGGACAGAGGTTGCAGTGGGCCAGGATACCACCACTGCACTCCAGCCTGGGCGTTAAGAGCCAGATTCCGTCTCCAAAAAAAAAAAAAAAAAAAAAAAAAAAGACTAACTCCTCTCTTCATATCCAGAATAATTGTAATGATAAGTTGCAACTCCATTTCCACAACTTCAACAAGTGAAACAAGTTTTTCCTTAGCTTTCTTCTTTCACAATAGAAGTTCTCTTGTAATTTTGCATGTTTAGCCCCCTAATACATTTCGACCCCAATCTAATTCAACAAACACTTGCCCATTGCATGAAGAGGCAAAAACAAACCCAAACCAGGTAACTTCTGTTCCAAGTTCACGACCCAATGAGACAGACAGACACATACACAACTAAGCAACATGCGAGTCAGACTGAGGTATTCAACTATCGTGTGTAAAAATAAAACTTGGGAAACACGAGGTCGGGTGCTGCCTCTGCTTTGTTCCAACATCTTAGGCTTGAAGATGGGCAGAGACAGACCCTTTAGAAAATATTCTTGTGCCATCTCTTTCCTGGTAGGAGCCAGGAAAGAGATTCTGCCACTTTCTCTACCAGCGCAACTCACATCCTGTATTTAGAGGGACTTAAAAGGCTAAGACGTTTTTAAGTATTAAACAAACAATAAACAGCAGCAAAAATGTTCTTTTTTATTTCTGAGACGGAGTCTCCCTCTGTCCCCCAGGCTGGAGTGCAATGGCGCGATCTCGGCTCACTGCAACCTCTGCCTCTCGGGTTCAAGCGCTTCTCCTGCCCCAGCCTCCTGACTAGCTGGGACTACAGGCGCCCACCACCACGCCCAGCTAATTTTTGTATTTCAGTAGAGATGGGGTTTCACCACGTTGGCCAGGCTGGTCTCGAACTCCTGACCTCGTAATCTGCCCACCTCGGCCTCCCAAAGTGCTGGGATTACAGGTGTGAGCCACCGCGCCCGGCCAACAAAAATGTTTTCAGGTGTAACATTCTCCCCACAGGGTCACTGATCCTGAAGGCAGGGACCCCAAGATGAGGGAAGATGAGCAGGGACCCCAAGATGCCACTCATCCTGAGGACAGAAGCCCGCAACCCCGGCTTCTGAACGGACCTAAGTGGCCTTAGTAAGAGGGTTGGTGGCATTCGTGTGCAAAAAGTTTCCAGATTGAGCATGGGCGCGCGCACACAACACCACCCACACACGCCGCGGACTCAAATGGCGGCCAGTTTTGGCTCCCGGTCGGGGCGTGAGAGAAGAGGGTCCAGTCAGAGCAGAGACGCTCTTCCAAAGGCCTCTCCCGACCCGCCCACGGATGGGGCAGTGTGGTATCTGGGGTCAATGCCTCTTTCCCTTTTAGACCCTCCTGCCAACCCGACACACAGCTTCAGCCCTCAGTTTCCCTCGCCTCAATCAACGGTCGTCCGGTCAGCAACCACCGCCCTTGCCGCCTGCAAAGAAAGTGCGGGAATCTACTGTGCGTAGGCGCCGTGCTGTGCGTAGGCGCCGTGCTGTGCGTAGGCGCCGTGCTGTGCGTAGGCGCCGTGCTGTGCGTAGGCGCCGTGCTGTGCGTAGGCGCCGTGCTGTACGTAAGCGCTGTGCAGTGCCTAGGCGCCGTGGGCCGCGCATGCGCAGAGGCCACCGCCTCGGAGCAATGGCGTCCTCGTGGCCCGCCTGTCCTCCTTCGGCCGGGAGCGATAACGTTAACGCGCCTCGGCGATCTCACACTGTGAAGTTCTCACGCTGTTGGCGCAGGGATGGCACCAACCCTTTAGAGTTTTGCCCAGATTGGAGAGGACACTGTCCTGTGACTGGAGAGGCAGGGGCAGATCTCCTGCCCAACCGGCCTCAGCCCCAGCATCGTCAAAAAAGTGCCCTGCTTCTCTGCACCCCCTGGCCGTGTCTTAGGGCCCAGACATCCGTTTCTTAGATGCTGCTGGCCACCCAGAGGATGCCTCGAAGGCCACCCGAGGTATCTGGCTGAATTACTGGGTCGGATCAGGGTCAGGGAATCTGAGTCCCCAGGAGGCTGGGGACAGAGCTGAAGCCCGGGTTCGGGTGGCAGCCGTGGAAGGCGGAGAGCCGTCAGCGAGGCAGGGCCCGGGGCTGCTGGAGCTTGTGGGACGGAAGGCGCCCGTGAGCCGCAGAGACCGTCTGCGGGGGAAGCCGCGTGGTGTGTGACCCTGGGCGTTGAGCTGCAGGCCTCCTGGCAAAGAAGACTGAATTCCTGGCCCTGTGACCTTAGTTAAGTTGTTTATTGAACACCTTCTAGACCTACATTTAATTCCTCAGTAAAAGAGCAATAACAACAATCGCCCTAAAAAAAAAAAAAAGTATTGAAAGATGAGATAGACAATCTGGCACACAGTAAATGTTAGCCCTTATTTAATATTAATAATAGTAGCTGCCATTTATTCGGATCTTACTGTGGGCCTGGTAGTGGATTGTAGTTCTGTCTGAGTTCAAAGACCATGTTTTGTTGTTACCATGTCTTCTAACGATTTGAAGACGGTGGAAAGGGCTGAGAGATGAAAGGAAGATTGTTAGTAAAAGCCTAGGACTAGAAAACCATAGACATTTTAGTAGTTTCTTTGAAAATTATCTCAAAAAGAGATAATTTATTAGGAAATAGGAAATAATATTAGATGTAGACTGATACCAGATAATAGCAGACCTTGAATGCCAGAGTAAGGACTAGCTTTCAAGGAATAGGGTCATCTTTTATTTTGGGAAGAAGAAGTCTTGAAACAATAAAAATAAAACTTGTTATTTATCATGGTTCCAGAGAGGAGTTACCCAAAACATGAATGGAAGCTTCAGGGAAGCAGATTTTGACTTGACATCTACATACATCTATGCATACATTTGCAACACTCACCTACCCACCCCAAAAATAGAATTTTCATTAAAAAAAAAAAAACAAACCCTGAAGCCAATTACATCCGTAAGGACTGCAGACATGAGCAATATAGAATCTTTGCTAACAGTTTATAAACTTAATCTATTTTATCATTGTCTGGTTCTTGTTATTTATTTCCACCTGGAAAGTTGGTCAGGATGGGCCACAGGGAAGCAGAAAATTGAGGTAGTAAAAGTAGTTTTGATTACATGACTATTGAACATCACATTATGTATGAGCCATCTTATGTATCATTTTTAACAAAAAACCCTTCTTATCCCCAAATCATATTATTTACGAAACAACCCACCTTAAATTTGTCTCTTACAAGGCCGGGCACGGTGGTTCACAACTGTAATCCCAGCACTTTGGGAGGACGAGGCAGGTGGATCACCTGAGGTTGAGAGTTTGAGACCAGCCTGACCAACAGGGTGAAACCTCATCTCTACTACAAATAAAAAAAAAATTAGCTGGGCGAGGTGGCATATGCCTGTAATCCCAGCTACTTGGGAGGTTGAGGCAGGAGAATCACTTGAACCCAGGAGGCGGAAGTCGTGGTGAGCCAAGATCACCCCATTGCACTCCAGCTTGGGCAACAAGAGTGAAACTCTATCTAAAAGGAAAAAAAAATTATCTTCTACTGAACAGCCATGACTGTGAAGTAAAACTTTGCTCTCCTTTTATTTTGTTTTGTTTTGTTTTAGAGATGGAGTTTTGCTCTCGTTGCCCAGGTTGGAGTGCATGGCGCAATCTCAGCTCACTGCAACCTCCACCTCAGGGTTCCAGTGATGCTCCTGCCTCAGCCTCCTGAGTAGCTGGGATTACAGGCACTGCCACCACACCCGGCTAATTTTGTATTTTTAATAGAGACAGGGTTTCACCATGTTGGCCAGACTGTCTCGAACTCCTGACCTCAGGAGGTCCACCCACCTTAGCCTCCCAAAATGCTGGGATTACAAGCCTGAGCCACCATGTCCAGCCTTCTTTTGTTTTAAACTACATTATTTTACTATTAAATTAGGCACCTCCATCCCACAAAACATTTGTAATGCTGGAAGTTATGCTTACTCTTTTGAGTACTTCAGAACACTCAACTTAATAATGAGATAGTGACAACTAAAAAGGGTTTCACTTTGTGTACTATCAGTTCTCTGAACTCTCAAAAAAGAAGTGAACTAATAAAAATGTGTGGTTTTTGTGGGTCCCAAAAATCAAGTATGCTTTGGGAAACAGGGAGTTAAAAACCTTTCGGAAGTTAACTTGGTATGAGTATGAAAAGCCTCTGTTGCTCTACTTTAAG